GATTCAGCAAAAAATGGCCAGCTTGATCTAATTTTAGTTCATATGAGAGGTGCACTAAGTTAGATCAAGCATGGTTAGACTGATCTAACTGAATGCCTGTACGTGTTTGGAGTACAGCCCCAGGGTTGGAAAAGCCCAGCTGCCTGCCCCAGCCCTAGGACTGTACTTTCCCTACATCTCCCTACCAGGTTATTTTAGTCTCCCCTGACCCCACTCCCAGATGGACAATTCTCCCACCCCCTTTGGACCAGCTAGCACCTCCACATCCACCAAACTTACCCCAATCCTACAAACTACCCCCAGTGCCAGTTTTACCAGCATTTTCTGGTGCTAGGAGCCTGATTGATGTAAGCTGGGGTGGGGTGAGGGGTGGACAGGATCAGAGGGGCAGGGATTGTTTGTTCATCTGGGTGTAGGAAGGGTCAGGGGACTAAAAATAGTCCCTGGTTGAGGCGAGGGAGGAAGCATGGAGGGAAAGACAGATCCCTGATCCTGCCAAACCTCCCCCAAGACCCAACCAACTTCTCCCCCACCACAGAGCCATGAGCCCCCTGATCCTATTATCTCTCCCCCACATGGAGCTGCCAGCCCCCCACAATCTGCCTGCCCCTCTCCTAGCCCCAACTTACTTCAATCAGGCTCCCAGCACTTGCAAACATCTGTGAAACTGGCAGCAGGAGCAGTGTGAGACCTGGGGAAGTTTGGCAGGACTTGGGGGGGGGGGATCTGCAGGGAATAGGGTTTGGTAGGATTGGAGAGGCTCTTCGATCCCACCAGCCACCCACCTTGATTCCTCCAAGCTCCATCACAGACCTTGCTAGCCCTCCCTAATCCCATCAAACCCTCCTGGAACCTACCAATGCCGCCACAGGCAACTTTTTACACAATCTGACCTCCTGAACTTCTAAGTGTATAGTCTGTATGCACCTTTAGTAACTTCAACAAAAATCAGCATGGTCATAGAGGGTCTACCCAGATGCAGAGTTGAGACCATGGATTGATTTGCCCCTTGGAAAGGTTTGGCACTCTAGAACAGCATTGTTCTGCACAAGGCATAAACTACCTTTTTCAGAAACCTTGTTTTTCAGAGCATAACAATTACAGGATCAAATGAAAAGTTACACCTAGCCATAGTTTCATAGTGCTTAGGGTTGGAAGGGACCTAAAC